ACGAGAACCGCAGCAGGAAATGATGTGGCGATTCTGTAAGATAGGTCTCTTGTTCCAGAACCCTAAATCCTAAACTTCCCTGACCTTCAAGCAGGATTTGTAACTGGTTTCCCGACATCCGCCTGTGCCCACTGCAACTTTATTTTCGAAAGATTCCCAAATTCCAAAGAGCTTCCATAGGGTTTCATCGGGGTTTGGGGGTTGATGGTCACTGGGCAGGTTCTGAGTTCCTGGAAGCTACATAACCTCCCTTACCAAGTACTGCAAGAAAAGCCAGCAAAGCGGATAAGAGTCAGCAGCCTCAAGCCCGGAACCCTAAACACGTAGAGTAAACACATAGAGCCTCTACCGAGACCTTATAGAAGCCTGATAGGCCCAAACCCTATACCCTAAATCCTTAAACCCTTAAACCCTAAACCCTTAAACTCTTAAATCCTAAACCCTAAAAGCCCAAAGCTGCGGCACCTATGCCATCCAGTGCAGCTGCGGCGAGATCCTTCAGTGAACTGGCCTGCCGGTCTCTCGACAGCTCATAACAAAACCCTAAACCCTAAACCCTAGACCCTAAACCCTAAACATAACGATCTTTCAGAGAGCGTTTTGGGCTTCGGGTTCAGGGTATAGGGTGTTTGACGGTTTAAGGGTTTAGGGTTCGGGGTTTAGGGTGTTTGAGGGTTTAAAGGTTTAGGGTTCGGGCTTTAGGGTGTTTGAGGTTTAAGGGCTTTGGGTTTAGGGCTTAAGGGTTTAAGGTTTAAGGTGTACGTAGGGTTTAGGGTTCAGGGTTCAGGGGTTTGAGATTTAAGGTGTAGGGTTCAGGGTTCAGTGGTTTGAGGCTTAAGGTGTGGGGTTTAGGTTCTAGGCTTTTGGGGCGGTCCCATTCATGCTGCATGCCTCTGCAGGCTTCTCAAGTTGGGCTACTCACGAAGAAGCAGTGGAAGATGGGGTGCACCGGGTTTGAATTTAGGGGTTGGGGGGTTTAAGGTTGAGGGTGTTGGGTTTAGGTTTGGGGCCAGGCCCGGATGGTTTTTAGGCTGTAGGGATTTCGGTTTGGGTTTGGGGGTTTGGGGTTTAGCGTTTCGGGTTTGGGGTTTAGGGTTTAGGGCTTAGGGGAGCTACTTGTACTCATACGGCTGCGCATGACTCACTTAGCATAACCTAGAACCCTGACTGATTGGGCCTTGGGGCCTTTTGAACTAGCTATAGGATGTGGTGGACGGGAACATTTACGGCTAACGCGCGCAACACAAAACACAACTCAATCGTAACTCAACAGCTTCGTCAGTAGTCCGAATGACTACTGGTGCACGAACTATTAATTCCGATCTAAACCCCGAGCGAACACCTCATTGACAACCCGTTGTTGCAGTCCCAGTCGGAAGCCTTGTTCTGCAACCCATTCAAGCCTTAGCAAACCCGTAAGCATCAACCCTAGACAATTCGTGCTGTGAGCTCTACACCCAAAACACCAAACTGCCAGACTAGTAGCTGCATTAATCTTGTAGATAGGTCTGAACCCCAAATCCTATTAAAAGCCTACCGAAAGCCTAAGGCCTACACCCAAAAACCAAAAAAAAACAAAACCAGAGCCGCCAAAACACTACTATAGGGGCCGTAATAAGGATTTTGGGGCCCAATCAATATATATATATATATATGTATATACACTGCAATTACAATAATTTAAGGAACCCCTGAAATAGTACTGTATTGGTTTATTATTTAGGCGCCTACCTTAAAGCCTTAAAAGCCTACCGAAAGCCAAAACACTACTATAGGGGCCGTAATAGGGATTTGGGGCCCATTATATATATATATATATAATATATATATATACTGAATTATAGTAATTTAATACATTAAAGCCCAGGGCCTGTAGCTTCTCTGCCATTCGGAAGCCACGACCAGGGAGCTCCAGCGGCATTAGCTCCACCCCGCGCGGCAGACCGGAAGCCTTCGATTCGGCTTTGGGTTTAGGGGTTTTAGGGGTATAAGGGCTTAGGTTTAGGTGAAGCAGCAGAATGAGGGCCTGGACTCAATTATCTAGAATTGATGCAGTTGCTTCGGATGCTGGCACACAGCGACTACAGCACCTAAACCTGCACAAACGTAACCTCTCGACCAACTGCGTCGGACTGGACGCCAGGCGTTGTTGTGCTTATGCCATGTCGTCATACAAGGACCAGAGGCAGCTGCTGTATTTACATTGTATACTGCGGCCAAAAACTCCTAATATCGGGGGCTTAACAATTAGAACAGGGTTTTGGGCTCCTTTATCGGAACCCTATTATTTACGCTTCTATGTTAGATTGACTGGACTTGTTCACCAAAGCCCTGATGCCCACAGAAAAGCACAAGCCCAAAGGGCGAAGTGTCGGGAACGAAATTAAGGAGCCTAGGAACTAGAATGACGAGAACAGGCTGTGGGAAGAATCTGGTATAGTTATACGTTGGGACCCGACGAAATTAGTAGCTGTAACCATTCAGGGCCCTACGACCACGAGCTCTTATCTCACCAGATGCCGCGGGGATACCCATGGGTGGAAACAGGCTCCGCTCATACCCACCGGGGCCACACAGAAGATTCGCAACTTGGCAGTCGATGGTGAGTTTGGGGCCAGAGCGATCCAGTCGCCATACTTTCCCTGGTTGGCCATCGGCAACAGAAGTTGAAATCGACCCGAAACAGCCGAAGATGCGAAGATAAGCCTAGATTCGGATCCGATTCTTGACAAGTCCGAAACTGGCCTTCTGGAGAGTTTGGGCCAAGCTGGACGATGCTGCGAAGTCGACAGGAGCAGGCTTGAACACTTGCAAACTATGGTATCGGTGACTCTTTGGGGTGGAAACTGAAATCCCAAGCCCGCATGTAATCCGCAATGCAGGGGCCTTAGTATTCAGAATAGGGTTTTGGGTATATTATACTATAAATATAATAAGGAACCCCCTAAACCCTATTCTAATTATTCAGGCCCCTACATTACCCATCAAGCCCGAATCCTACATGCTTGGAAGCACGTTGGGACTTAATAATGAGAAGACTGCTGTGAGGGTAGTAAAGTAGCATCATCAGGTAGAGACCCTAAACAGTCTAAAGGGGATACTATGAGTGTTCTTAAGCCCCTAAAGTATCCATGCAGCCTCTTGGGGATTCCTTCGAGCCTGGGGGTTCAGGGCTGACGGTTTAGGGGTTTAGGGTTGCGGGTTCAGTTGTTTCCAAATCTCGCATACTCGCAGGGGCATGGGACGAAGTAAGCGGCATGTGCACCCCTTGATTGGGGTAAAATGTGGATATGCCGTACCTTTCGACTATGGATACTGCCCCATGATGCTTGAAATAGTGTGGGGTACCCAGTGCCCGAAGCATGCCACTGGGTCGCGAGCAATACACATGCCGCAAGACCGTAAGAAAATAGAACTTAGGGTTTAAGGGTTAAGGGTTTAGGGTTTAGGGTGGAAACAGCAAGTGGAGACGAATGTTTGGACTTGGAGCCCTAAGCCCTCAACCCCTAAAACCTTCGGGCATTTTGCCCCGAAACCCTAAACCCTAAACCCCTAAAAGCGAACGCAGGAGTATCGTACTACACTGATGACAAAACATACCTCGAAGTCCGAGGTCCCTAAAACGTACAACCCTAAACCCTAAACCCCCGAAGCCTAAACCCCTAAACCCTAAACCCGTAAAGCCGCAAACCCTTAACCCCTTAACCCCTAAATCCCTAAACCCCTGAACCCCTACACCCTCAACCCTTGAAGGGCCTTGTTGAAGCCTACGCCCTGAGCACTAAACTCAAACCTCAGCCGGAGCTTCTCGAAAATCCCAGGAGTTCTTCTGCCGAGGATCTTACCCTAAGGGTCCAAAGGACCTGATAATCATATACTTGGGTTGTGGATAGTAGTTTTGTAGGCTAGTATTCAGAAGAGTATATGATTATGAGGTACTTGGACCCTTAGGGTTACCATGTAGGTTCTGTAGAAAGGTACCGTTTTGCCTTCTTGGTTGACACGCGGAAACCCTACAACCCTATGAGACCCCCAGAAACCCCTGCTACTACAGAACCCTCTTGTGACCATTGAAAGATGACTTTAGAATCCCGTCTGAAATACTTTTCAAACACCCTGCACACCTCACTCCTAATCTTGAACCCTAAAGTCTCTACCCAAAGCCGAAAGCCCAAACCAAGGCGAAACTCCAAACCCTAAACCCCGAAACAGAAAACCCCAAACCCTAAACCACCATCCCCGCTAAATGCCAAACCCTACACCATAAACCCTCCACCCTAAGCCAAAAAAAAAGGCGCTTGCACCGAGTGCCGCACGCCGGGGTCTTCTAAAGGCCCCCTGCGGCTGCAAAAGAATCGAAGGGGCCGTGCTAAGTATGGCTTCCTTTAGGGCTTGGTTAGGGTTTACGGTTCAGGGTTTGGGGTTAAGGCTTCTTGAAGTAAGGGTTCTTTTGGGGCTTTTTGATTTAGGGTGTCTTACAAATTATGTGTTATTTTGGGGTTCGTTTAAAAGTGGTTGTCACGGCTAGTTACGATGAGGGTTACCGTAAGGGTTCCGTAAGGGATTTCAAGGCTCTAACACAAGGGTCTTCATGAGGAGGGTAATCAGGTCTTGGAACCAGTCATGCCAGAGGCATAATTATTCGGGATTGTGAAGGGATGTTTTCTGCTACATATTGCAGCCTATACTGTGAATTTGCTGCAAGTCTTCACGGTTGAGCATTTTAAGGTTTAGGGTGCGAGTATACTTATGCCCTCCTTATAACTATCCATGAACCCTGAGCCTTAAACCTTAAACCCTGAACCCTAAACCTTGACCCCTAAACCCTAAACCTTAACCCCTAAACCCTAAACCCTAAACCCTAAACCTTAAGCCCTAAACCTTAACCCCAAAGCCCTAAACCTAAACCCTAAACCCTAAACCCTAAACCCTAAACCCTAAACCCTAACCCTAAACCCTAATCCCTAAACCTTAAACCCCTCCAAGCACGGGCCCCTCTCCTCGTCAGCCCTGGAGTCGCGGTGCCGCGAGTGTCGACCATCCCGGTCCCGGTCCCGGCCGTCCCGGCCGTCCCGGCCGTCCCTGCCGTCCCGGCCGTCCCGGTCCTGGTTTGGGCTTTAGGGTTTAGGGTTTAGGGCTTAGGGTTTAGGGTTTAGGGTTTAGGGTTTAGTTTGGGCTTTAGGCCTGAAGGGATGTAATTTGGTTTGGGTTGGTTACATCAGGGTTTCGGGAAGGTCTGGGAATTGGAGGGTCCGTCCCGTCTTGGAAGGACACGTGAAAGAGGCGTCATTCGGAAGGATAGTGAAGGCGAAGCAACAAGCTTCTAAGACATGCATCTGCACCCAAAACGCCACCGAAACCTGCAACATAAGCCCCAGAGCCTGCAGGAAAGTGTGCCCAGTTTCACCAGTAGCCAGATGGCTTAGATCGTAGTAGGACTTATGAACTAAGTTCTTTTCGTTTAGAGTTCAGAAGTCGGGGCTTCGTCTTCAATGGAGCTTAGATTTAGGGTGTGATAGGATAAGATTTCGGGTTCAGCTGGGGTCAAGAGTATCTGTGTACCGTAGAAGCCGTGCACCTTCTAGCCAGGAAGCTAAAACCCTAAACCCTAAACCCTGAACCCTAAACCCTACCGAATAGGAACTCTCAAAGAAGGAGAGCCAGGTAGATTTCCTTAACAGTTGAACCTTTGGAGTCTGACAGCAACCTTGCCACATAGGCATACGAAGCAACCAAAACCTAACACCTAACAACTCTCTTTAATAGCTTTTATGGCCCTGAAACCTTAAACAAAAGATAGATAACATCCTGACAATGCACGCGCGTACGTATTTGTATGTAAGTATGACTGTGTGTGTGTATATATATATACACATAAAGACATGCTGATGCATGTGTGTATACATGTAAGTAGGCAGGCATGTATGTGTGTGTGTGTGTGCGCATGCATATAAGTAGGTATAGATGTATGTATGTATGTATGTATGTATGTGCGCGTACGTGTATGTTTGTTTGTATGTATGCATGCACGCACACAGCGACGAACGGATGGATGGAGGGGTTGCTGGATGGACAGGTGTTGGTGTGCGTATGTATGCATGCATGTATAAATTTATGTATGTGTGTATGTATGTATGTATGTATGTATGTATGTATGTATGTGTGTATATGCATGCATGCATGCATGTATGCATGCACGCAGCGACAAACGGATGGATGGAGGGATTGCTGGATGGACAGATGTTGGTGTGCGTGTTTGTATGTATGTATGCATGCAGCATATATAAATTTATGTATGTGTGTATGTACGTATGCATGTGTGTGTATATGTATGTATGTATGTATGTATGTATGTATGTATGTATGTATGTATGTTCGCAAATATGTATGGATGGATTGATGGATGGATGGATGGATGGATGGATGGATATAATGTCATGTAATGTCATGTCATGTCATGTCATGTCATGTCATGTCATGTCATGTCATGTAATGTAATGTAATGTAATGTAATGTAATGTAATGTAATGTAATGTAATGTAATGTAATGTAATGTAATGTAATGTA